TATTTTGTTAGTTATCAATAATTATCTTAATTATATTTTAATTTTTTTATATTTAAAATGAACCGTTTATTCTCTATTTGATTATGTTTATCTGCATTTAGTTACACAAATTCAAACATGAAGCTTTAATAAGTTGTACATACGCACAATTTACTTGTAATCTTGAATTTAAGTAATATGCATCAATAAACAATACTTTATGTTTAAAAAATGGTTTGTAAACGTTTTTGTCAAATGTTTTATAATATAGTATAGATATAGATTTTTTTATAAGTATAAAACTATTTTTTAATAAATTAATAAATCATAAATTTAATTAAAATCTCATTTAAAGTTATATAAACCGATCGACATTTGTTGATGTACTAACTAAATATATTGATCTGTTGTTCAATATTTTTGTAAAAATAATATAATTTAATATAAATACTAAATTGTAAAGTGAAAAGTGCATTAAAATGAAATAAATTTTGGTCTAATTTTTATTTTAAGAAACTAACTTTTAAAATCATTATTTAAGGAGACGTTTGGTTCATGAATCATTGAGAAATCTGATGAAATTGGAATGTTGAATTTCGTTAATTAAATTTTATTTCCTCGTTTGATTATTTTTTAGAGAAATAATATTCAAAATACATTGAATTCCACAAATAAGGGGATTTTAACATTCTTTTGATATAAGGTGATATTTTGATGAAATGAAATGGTGTAATTTTTTAATCCCAAATATACCCTTTAATCCTATCATGATAAAATAGCCGTATAGCTCCTCCATCGCATTGATTTTTTACTTCTCATCATCGCTTCTAAAGTTCGATTTCTCTTTTCTCCATAATTTCTTTAGGTTCGATTTCTTGATTCTCTACTATATGCTCAATTTCTACTTCACAATATCGTTTTCTGCTCGTTTTTCCCTTCTCGATTCACTTGTTTTTCCTTGCTCGTTTTTACTAACAACAAAATTTTATACTCTTTTATTTTCTACTCGTTTTTCCTGCTTGATTCACTCGTTTCTTACTGCTCGTTTTTACAGATAAAAGATTTTCTACTCGGTTTTTTTCTGCTCGGTTTTTTCCTGCTCGATTCACTCATTTTCTTTCTGCTCGTTTTTATTATAATAGACTTTTCTACTTTATTTTTTCTGCTCAATTTTTTTCTTGCTCAATGTTTTTCTGCTCGATTTCTTTATGATGACAACCTAAAGCTCGATTTGTTTCTGCTCGATTTTTGTTTTTGTATTAATAATCTTTTGTTGTTATGTTGTTTATGTATTTGTGTTGCATTAGGGATGTTGTATATTTTATATTTTTTACACATCAAATGATTATTTTATTATATTATTTTTAGTATGAATTTTTCTTATCCAAAGAAGGATATTTTGGTCATTTCAATTCAAAAGCTACATTCTATGAAACCAACAGATAGATTTCAATGCCTTTAATAGATTTCATTCCAATGTATGTCAACCAAACAGGTGGTCAAATCTGACAACATTTTATTTCAATTTCTTCAAAGTTAAATTTTTTTGACATATAATTCTATCAAAAAACATTTTAGGAACCAAACGCCACCTAAGGGTCTATGATAAAATTTTATTTATTTAAGAGTCTAATTCACCTGCTCAGCAAAGTAATTATTATAAAAGTTTCCTAATCAATAGGTGTAGATGAACATGAACACCCTACAAGAACAAAACTTAGATTTAGATGAATATGAAGAATAACTAACAGCTGAACTCAGATTTCTCTATACATATCATATTCATGCAAATTATCTTATACTATATTATAAAGCATTTGAGTTAAACTCTTGAAAACCAATTTTAATGCATTAAGTATTGTTTAATTAGGCATACTACTTAAAATTCAAGATTATAAGTAAATTATGCATGAGTATAATTTTTTAAAGTTATATGTTTAAATTCATATAACAAACTAATAAACATAATCAAATACAAGATAAAGATCTAATTTTAAATATAAATAGACATTGGAATAGGGTGGGGATGGAGCAGGGACCTCAATCCCCGTCCCCGTCCCCGATTACTTATCTTTATCCATGTCGCTATCTCCATCCCCGCCGAGGAATATAATCACATCTTCATCCCCATTCTCAACGGGGAACGAGGATCCCCAACGCGGAAACGAATATTTTTTTTCCGTTTATATAAGTTATTTTAAATTAAATATGTGAGAGACCATACATGTTTAAATCTCAAACATTTTCAATAAACCTAAAACCAAAATGAATTTAATTTAATACAAAAAAAAAAACCACAACATCATATAAAAATTAATAACCTATAACAAAAAAATTCAATTTGATCCCAAAAAAAAAACTTAAAGTCACATATACCAAAAGATATTGAGTGATATAAAACCATATCGAGCAATATACAAAACTTATCGAGTAATTGTATTTTGACTTGACATCCAAAATATTACATAATAACATCCAAAAAATAACATTTTTAGATTCTAAACATAGTTAGAAAATAGAAAATTATGAATTATCATTTTAGTTGAAATAAATAATATACATGTGTATAAATATATATAAAAATTTATTAATTAATATATAAAGGGTACAGGGCGGGGCGAAGAGTACGATACTCGTCCCGTCCCTATCCCCAGTTTGAAACAAACGGGGATCCCCATCCCCATCCTCGATTTAGCGGGGAATCCCCGTCTCCAGCCGGGCCGGGTGGACTGGGTTTCCCGATGGGTCGGGGCCCATTTTCATGCCTAAATATAAAGAATGTAAAATATAATTAAGATAATCAATAATTTCAACATAGTAATTAATTATTATCTTTATAGAAAAATATTATAATACTAAATCTAAAATAAATTATTTCGTTATTAAATATAAATTAAATTATAAAAAAATTGAACTAAAAATTATAAAAAAACATTATATTATTAAATATAAAATAAATTACTTTTTATTAAAACTATATTAAATTATAATAAAATCGAACTAAAAAAGTTATAAAAAAAGAACTTTTAAATTCTTAATTACGATACTAATATGAATATATTTGTTTCAAACTTTTACGGGGTTTTCAAATTTATATTTATTCAAATATAAAAACATAATCGTTTTGTCCAAACCGTATAAAATTGTATTATAAAATCGATGAAGACAGATAAAAAAATGAAATATTAAAATCAATATATATCTCGCTGAATTACATGAATAATACTCTTCTAATATTCATTTTACACAAGAACCTAAATTAGAATCTAAATACAAATAAAAACCTTAAATCAAAAGTGAATCAGATGTTATACTAATAAATTCATGAGCTTAGTGGTATATAAAAATCAAAAAATATAAATCAAATCTCTAAAACAAAAAGAATCAAAACCCTAAACAAATTTATACAACCCCATTATGATTCTGGGTGTTGGCAAATTAAAACCCTAGATTTCGTTCCGCGCATTTGTTTTGAATCGATTTGTTGAAGGGTTGTTTCGAAATCCACAAACAAGTCACCTTCGAAATCAAAACTCGTCGTTGAATGCTTTTTTGAGTTTGTTGAGTTGATCTGTTGAAGGCTCTTTCTTTGTTAAATCGTCGAGTTTATTAAACAAATGATTTGAAATCATTTTTGTTTAGACAATTCGTATTAAATTAAAAATTAAATGATATATAAACGAAGATGTTGGTGAGATAAACTCATGAGACATTTCGGAGATGGTTTTTTAGGGTGTTTTGGAATGAAATGAACTTGAAGAATTTGTACAAAACAAGATTAATTTGTTTTATAAAATTATACAAAACGACAAATATCCTTACGTAATTTGATGTGGAATTTGGATTGGTCGATAAAAAAATTTATATGTCATGTCATAATTTTAGATTCCATATCATCGGTTTCGACTTATTTTTATAAATTTAATTATGACGTAAAATTTTAGTTGATAAAATACATGTTACATTTTAAATAAGCGAAAACTTTGTTATAAAACTTTAAGTGATGATTTTAGAAGTTGATTTCTCAAAATAAAAATTCACCCAAAGTTTGTTCCATTTTGATACAATTTTCTCAAGTGTAAAATATTTATTATTAAATTACATAAAATTATTAAAAATAAATACTAACCAATAATTCAATTTTAAGAAATAAAGTTAAATATACACACTAATTGTATACCTACGTACTACCGCGAAATGTAAAATTATATTTTTGATGATTGAAACTTGTATTACAATATTAGTGCATCTACTAAATAGAAAACAAAAATTTATGTTTTAGTGGGGGAGGAACCTGTTATTCATCAAGGACGATAAATTTTACCTGGTTGGCACTTGCCATATAATATTGTTGCTTACTATTTTTTCCTTTAGTTGATAAGGTACAAGGTAAGATTTTTGTTTATTAAGGGTCGTTTACCAAAAGCTTATTGGGTAAGCGCTTACTATCAAGAGTCACCAACCTCATTTATCATATTCTGTAACGTTTCATGCCATCAAAAGGGATTATTGGTAAGCATATATGTGCTTATCGGGTAAGAGTCACCACTCTCACTTACTGGGTAAAACTCTCAATCAATGTCTTGGCATCTTATAGGTAAGGTTTTTGATCACTGCTATGCTCACTGAGTAAGGTAATGATCAGGTAAGTGCTTATTCAATAAGCGTTTGGTGAACAACCTATAAGCCAT